GAGTTTGATTGTTTCGCACTACAGAGCCATTGACTTCTGTAGGCTATACCCTTACCGATTATGCTATGATACGATATAGAATATTACAAAGGCGAAATTATGTGAGTGTGTTTATTTTTTACTTCTTCACGCTCAAACATCTGGGACAATTTTGATAAAAACCTGGTATGAAGGTAGCTGACACCCTGGATTAACACATATACTACTTTTTGTTCCGAAAAAATGTAGTGTTCTTGTGGGATGAGCAAAGAATTGATAAAACTTGGGTAGCGCCGCGGGACGTCACTAGCTTCACTTCATAAAGCTACTGAGGGTATAAAATTTAACAATAATATACGAGGACGACAACCTTTCAAAGAAATGCTCTAGTGTGGGTTGGGAGAGCCTATTGCGTCACAATCATGTTCCCGGAATTATTAGGGTATTTTTGAAAGGAGAAATAAGATTTTTATTCCACGACCTGGTTACCAGAAATTGTGTTAAAGACATGAAAAGAGTTGTGCATTAGCATGTACAATATACAGATAAGATTACGATTTTGGTAATTCTATTTTAAATGCTTTTACAGAGAAAACGTGTTACCAATGGTAGTTTCATTATTAAATTTTCTTGAATAGTTGCTTAATATTATTATAATATGAGTTACTGATTAATTAACAACAGTTTTATATCAATAGAGGAGATATATTATTTTGTATTACAATGACGTGTTTAAATAGTACGAGTTCTAGTGTGAAGATAACTAATTGTATAGATTTCTATCTCGCTCGCTCTATCTTGTATCGTATGATTACCAATGTCATGATGTTGCATGATGATTAATTAAAAACCTATTACGTATAAACAGATTTATTTGTATTACATAGATTAAACTACGAGTTTTTGTATTGTGAGGTAAACTTTAACGAAAACTACAGTTTAGTAGGTACTTTTCGAAAAAGAGTTCCATTACGACAAATAACATTTAAGAAGCGTGTCTGATATTAATCTCTTTTTAACGAATTATCATTCCACATTCAAACTTTTTAATGTCTTCTCTGCAATGGTTTTACCGAATGAAAGACATTCGGTAATACCATACAGTACAATTGATTAAAATTACATTGTGCAAAATCCATGAATCGTGTAAAACGTTCCTCGTGATTGGATAATGTAGTCGTCTCTGATTATAGCTGTAAAGTATCCTGACCATATATTCTCCGTAAAATATTTAGATGATTAAAGATTCATTGTCATTTTTTGACGTGACAACGTCTTATAATTCGATGGAGCCGGCTGCACGCACGAAAAAACATGACTCATGCGGCGTTACCTCGCTCTGAGGCGTTCCATTTAAGGCTTGAAGTGCAAGCGAGAGCGCGCAACGAGCGACAAAGAGGCACAATCGGCCTCCGCCTTCGGCAGCGTTTGACATCTCTCTCTCTCCTACTTGACTGAGCGATGCGTCCGCGTGGACAGCTGCTATACAATAATACATTTACATGTTTTCGTAAAATGCAACAATTCCATCAGTATTTTCTTATGACGTTGTCACGTTCAACTATCGTCAGTAAACCGACTTTACAGACAACCGATTTTTTTTATCAATATCACCATCAAAACAATTGACAAACAATGGAATAGAACGCATTTCAAGCGTAAAAAAAAAGTTCAAGGTGTCAGATTAAATACTTCTTTTGTTACAGCGTTAGTTGACATTGAATGAAGACTGTCAATTTGAAACAAGCCGATCGATTTAGGTCGCTAACGTTTGTATGTAGCTGGCAATGTAATTGGTGTCATCAGAACTTAGTGCTACTTATTTATTTAAGTTTGTAGCACGTGGCACGTGGATCAAACCATCGGTCGAATCGAAAATGCGTCACAGCATAAGCGGCTTAACATTTATGTAGTGGTGAGCGGATTTACCCCATCGAGGTCATACCCCATTGTGAATTTGTCTATCTTAATTACTGTTTAATTGAATAGCGCCATGTAAAAAAAAGGAAAAAAAAATACTTCAAGCTGCGTCCTCTAGAGGCCGAAGGGATTTTCCACCCCGTCACCGAAAAAAATAAATGGAAAAGCAATTCTATATGTATCGCTGGCTCTCTAAGTGATATGATTCTAACCGACAAAGGCACGGCACAGGGTTCGATTCTCGGGCCAACCGAATATTTGTTATATGTAAATGACATGTGTGATGTATTCACTGAGGGATCGGTGTATCAGTTTGCTGACGATACATGCTTGATATCTGCGCATAAAGACCTACGTGAGGGCGCAGAGGGTTATGCAGCGCAACTTTGATCTATTGTGTAGCTGGGCCCACGATGTGGGTCTAGTGATTAATGCACAAAAAACTAAAATGATGCATATACATTCACCTTATTTGACATCGCCTTGTGAGCCAGTCATTGTTGCTCATGAGCACTCGTGCTTACATCGGACGGGAACACTGTGCAGTTGCCAATCATTAGAGTTGGTGTCTCAGCATATGTATCTGGGTCTTACCATAGATAATAAATTCCACTGGGGGCCTCATATTAATAAAGTATGTAGTAAATTGAGATCCTTTCAATCCAAATTATATGTACTTAAATATAAATTACCTTACAAAACACTTAGAACCATGTACCTCTTGCCGACTCCGTGATTGGCTACGGACTAGGTAGCTATGGGCGCACATACAAGACCTACCTCGAAAACATTTATAACATACAATTAAGCATCTTAAAAACAATAGTACCTAGAAAAACTAAACTACAATTTAAAGAAGACGAATGTGGCCTATTTAAACACTGTCAAATATTAAATGTTTTCGATAAAGTGAGCGTATGTGTACTAGATGAGGAATACCACAACCTTGCTAAATTGAAGGAAAATATAAGATTGGAGTCACTACGTCACTTGTCATACCTACCCAATTATAGAATACCTAAGCATACTAATGTATATGGGACGCGGACGTGGGAACACATGCTGCCCCGTATAATGAACAACATACCTATCGAAACCTGTAGCAAGATGAATAAAAAAAATTGTAAAACTGTTTACATAAAATATTTACTGTCTAGCTGATACTCAACTTTATAAATATACATTTGTAATTAAATTGTAACCGAGATGTGTCTGGTATACCACGGATAAACTCTTGATGGTTTGTGTGGTATATGAAGGATAAAATGCATGTGTGCATTTTATATTAGACAATAAAAAAAAAAAAAAAAAAAAAATAGTCATTGACTTTTAATACTATAACAACACTTTAAAGGCAATCCTTGCTAAGTATCCTTATGATGTAGCAAAATCTACCGATTAATTTAATATTTTAAGTACATTGTAATTACGTCGCTTTGTAAGAATTGTCTGAATTTAAGTGTCGAAATAAAGTTTTAATATTCAGAAACCCGACAGAGGTTTGGCGGGCACGTGTTCTGTCAGACGACGTGTGACATATGACAAACGCAACATATCATTTTAATCGATTTCAAGGTAAAGAAAGTTCTTAATTCGACTGTATGTTTTTTATGTTTGTTACCTCACAACTCTGATATTTATGAACCGATTTAGGATATTATTCTTTATTTGATAGGGTTGATGCAATTTAAATTCGGACAAACCACTACTAAGGTTGAGAATTAATGAATAAAAAGTACAGTTTAAAACAATTCAACACAATGTACATTAAAGGTCGACTTCACATTTTTTAAAGATATTTATAAATCTGTAAGCGCTGGTCTTTAGTACAACTGATTACTGAATTGACTGAGTTGTCGTAATAACCTTTAAAAATGCCGTGAGGCGACGCCGGTCAGGTTTAGTAAATAAATATTGTGGAACAGTACAAGTGACTTAAATTAATATGTCTAGCAAGTGCCATCAGTCAACAGAATAAATAATACAAATTGTATCTTTAGAATCAATTATTATTGGAAAAAACTGATCTACGAAAAAGCATACAAACGCCTTATTGTTTTTTGTTGTAAATAATTATCACGATACCCCTAATCCAATACATCCTAATCATCATCATCATCAACAGCCTTTACTAGTCCACTGCTGGACATAGACCTCTCCTTAGACAGGAGGTTTTGGCCTATTATACCACGATGGCATGACGTGTTGGTATAGGGTTTGTTTCAAGTTTTCCTTCTCTTTGCAGTGCTGTTGACCTGCGTTGTATACTCCCTTAGTCGGCTCTTACGACACCCACGGGATGAAGAGGGTGCCGACACTCTGTACTCCTAATCATAACATCCTAAAAATACATCCTAATCTCACATACATACATTAGACTTCTCTTTTGTGCAATTGTCTAATAAATAAAGACCAGCCGATTGTTCAAGACTCAAGAAGGACAAGATCGACACACAATAAGGGCCAGATAGAATAAATAAATACATAAATGGAATATCCATGTACTGTGACTACATAAAATAATTTGTCGCTCCGTGTTTTAAATGAAGTCAATAAATTCAATATCTCTGTAGTTAGTAACGGATCTTACTGCAGATAATATACTTTACCTAAGTATTTCCTTTCTTGTAAAAAATGTACAGTCCTGTTAAAAAAATAATACAATTATGTTTCTATTTATTGAGGTTAGTTAAAAATGTTAAGTGTGTTGTGTGTTCGCAAATTAATTCTATTTCATAAATATCAATTTATTTCTGAACTTTATGAAATATATACCTATATAATTGTAAAATAAATAATTTAGACTGGTGTTTCCTTTATTGCAAGGTACCAAAATACAATGATATAAATACTGTCGTTTTTCATTTAAACTTTAAGGTTTTTCTGAGTAAACAGACAAATAGAATTCAAATCTATTTTAGATATTTCTTTTTTAGTGCTTTTTTTAATATAATTTACTATTTTACACTTACTTAGAAACATCAAGAATATGTGGATTGTAACAATAAAAAAGTTTCATCTTTGACAACTATGTAGGCAACAATAGAAAAAAGTTCCAAAGCTGTTTGAATTTCAAACTAACCACAGACAAAAGCGATTACCTGATAATCTTCCAGTTGCTGTTCTGTGAACGTCACAACTTTGTTACCCATCACGGTGAATTTCCACTCGCACAAGAATAAAAAGAAAACAAATAAACAACGGTAAAAAGCCGGTAAAAGCTGCCTGTTGCCGCGACAGCGACAAAACACTGGCTAGAACCGACCACAGGGATTAGGGTGTGACGACAAAGAGTAGTTACACAGTCAGAGACTTTGTATAAAGAACAACGTTTTATATTGGTAAATAAGTTTAGCCTGATTTTGGTAGCGCTTGACTTTGTTCAGGTTGGTATATTTGATTTGTAATATCATTTCTCTCGTTTTCCTGCCGTCTCTGTGGGAAGGATGTTGTAAAAGTGGGAGTGGATTGTGTAATTTAATCAATGAGCACACGTGGTGCTAGAGTTGGTCGTGAGATGTAGATCTTTTGATTAGTGGTTTCAGATACCATTGTTAAACGTTTATGATTTGACAGTTTGTGTCGTCAGTAGGCAGTGGTAGTCACTTTCCATCAGGTGACCTGTCTGCTCGTATACCCCCTTTTTTTTTTTCCGTGCGGAAATCCCCTCGAATACCACCTGTCGGTGGCAGCTCGTATACCCCCTAGCTCTAGCGGGGGACTTTACAAACACATAAAACGGACACAAAGAACACCCAGACTCAGATCAACAATTTGTGGATTACACAAAGTGTCGTCCCATGTGGGGACCGGACCCACAACACTTAGCGTAGTAAGCGGCGTAGCGACCGCTTAAATCACTACGCCATCCATGCAGTCAAGTCCATGCAGTTAATATGTATTTTACGCCTTTCATAAAAAAATTGCCTATTTTTTGATTTTGAGTCATAAAAGCACATTATAGATTTATTACATTAAAACTAAAAGTCGTAATTTTTAATCTGTATATCACGTGACCTAAAACACGAGCCGCCATGTTGTGACGTCACATAGGCAAAAACTGTCAGTTCAGTGTAAACAGTACATATCTATCAATTTTAACTTCAAGAAGTAATAATTGTGTTCTTTCGTCAGAGCATTTTATTTGTACCTTTGTATTTATTAAAATGCATACCGGTTTTTTAAAAGAAGAGTACGAATCTGCCAAATATTGAGTCAATGATATTTGAAAAGTTCATTGCATGTACCACAGACTGCTGTTCTGCCGAATTCCGGAATGTTAAAACAACTTTGTAAGTATTACTTGTTGTTGTATACCTAATTAGTAAAAAAAAATACAATCGACTTTTAGTTGATAATGACTTAGAATCTCGTTTTGCAAGTTCCAACCAAACATTCCTCATTTCAATTTCATCTGGCACTTTGATAAACTATATAATATAATTAAATTAAATTTTATAGTTATTTAAATATTATAGCAAGAAAACGTGTTTATTTTGCCGAAATATATTCTTTTGTAGCTTTTTATTAAGAAAATCAACATTTTGAAGTAATTTTTCGAACGTAGTGTAATACCCTATTGATCTAATTTTATAATTTACAAAAGTAGTTTTAGTAGGATGTATTTTAGAGTATTAATAAACTATGTAATGTGTAGACTCAGATCTCTGTAACCGCACTACTCTATGTGGTTAAGTTAGGCGAGTCGTCTATTAGTCGCCGCACCCCGGCCTCGTCTGATTGCTTTATTCTATTTTCAAACGCACAAATAACTGCAAATTTGGCCTACATAAACTTTAAATTACAACGATTAGATAAGGAAAACGCCACCATTTTTATATCACTCAATTTTATGAAGTATATTAAATTAAGTCAAGGGTAGCACTCGATACCTTTTGTGGAAAATTGTACTGTTTTATTTTTGCCTGCCGCTCCGGCGTGTATGTCGGTTAACGCGGTAAATACCCTATATCCTTCCACAAGAATCGAACTATCTCCATGCGAAATTTCATTTAAATCTGTTGTGATTTTTGATTCCCCATACAAACTTCCACTCCAATTTTCACCCCTTTAAGGATGATTTCTGAGATGGAAACTATCCTATGTCCTTTCCCGGGACTCAGGCTATCTGTATATCAAATTTCATCTAAATTGGTTCAGCGGTTAAAGCGTTACGAGGTAACAGACAGACAGGAAGACAGATAGACAGACACACTTTCGCATTTATAATATTAGTATGGATTTACGTGGGAAAGTCCTGTTAAAGTACACATGGGCCAGCTGGACCGACGCGATACCATGGCCTCACAAAAAACCGCTTTTAAGCAATTCAACGAGTGAGGTTATCGGAGTCCAAACCCAGGAAGGGATTTAGGTCCGGTAACTTCACTCACTCTTCCCCTGGAAAGGGGGGAGGGGAGCGCAAATGTGACCCTTAAGGTGTCTATGGGCGGCGGGAGCTACTCATCATCTGATAACCTGTCTGCTCGTTTGTCCTCCTATATCATAAAAAATGACTTATAATGAAGAAAATCAAAATAGCTGAATTGGGAAAAATTTGAAAATTGAGAGTTAAATATGCAGTCGTAGCAATCTGATGTACTACGGTACTATGAATTTGACCCCTAAAAAAATATAGTTTCTAGACGCTATAAAGAATGTAATAATTATATTTTTTTAGTCTTTTTTAGATGTTTATTGTCTTACCCTCCTATCTGGAAGTAAGTTAGGGTACCCGTACTCCACGGTGTGGGCAACTCCATATAGTGTGGCCGAGGTCTGTAGGGATTCTCGATTTTTTACTTGTTAGGGTACCCCGGATTCCCTCTAAGAGACTCATTTATGTCCAGTCCAACATACCACGCGCGTGTCCAATAGAAACAAAAAAGATATTTATTATCTTGTAACTGTGATGATGTAGTTTTAAAATATTATGTTAGTCATATCAAGAATATCACAAAATAACAAGGTTTTTATTTAATTTCTAGTTTATTTAGGGGATCGTTAAGATTTTTATGTTACTAAATGGCCTGAGGGATACTAAAGTAGTGATTTCTTGAAATAAATTGTGCGAAAAAGGTTTGTATGTATTTTGAAAATAGTAACGCAAGTCGTTTTTAAAAAAAGAACGAGCCACACAGTAGTCGCATATGACATGACGTAACATCTCACCTATCATCTGACAGTTTCTAGCACCGCGCGCGCTCATTGGTCCAATCAAATAGCTTACCGTCATACAAGTTTGTCCCTTATTACGAAGTCACTTCCACAGAATGACAAGTTGTCTAGTTTTATTTAGGTAAAAATTATATTGTTAAATTTTAAATTCTTATGGTAAAGTATTCTCGATTTAAGAGCACCTACAGGGTTTTTAAAGTAATTAAACTTTTAAAAAGAGTTCTTTGACACTTGCCTTTTCTTGAAAGTTTTTTATCGGAATGTCGAAATTACCTTTTTTTTCTACAAAAAGGTAACTCAGACTTTTCTATACAAAACTGCTGTTGAATAGACTTTATATAAAACTAGCTGACACCCGCGGTGTTACTCGCGTTTGTTGTGATAACCGCGGGCAACGCCGCGGGGCGAAGCTAGTCTAAAAAAAGTAGCCTAAGTTACTCCTTATGTCATCAGCTATCTGCCAGTGAAAGTCCCGTCGAAATCGGTCCAGCCGTTCCAGAGATTACCCGGAACAAACAGACAGACAGACAGACAGACAAAAATTGTAAAAAATGTTATTTTGGCATATGTACCGTGTAAACATACATATGCATTTAGTAAAAAGCGGTTATTTTAATATTACAAACAGACACATTGTAATTTTATTTATTTGTATAGATGTTAAAATATGTAGATATAAATAAAATGCGAAACGAGTTCGTGAGTTATGAAAAAAATATTTTAAAAAGAGAATTTCTGTAGCGTTATTGTGCCATGATGTCCAATGTGCGGTTCAATAAAGGTTATATCGGATTATTTAATGTTATACCTAACTGTTAACTTGGCTGGAATTTTTAATTTAGAAGTGGACTTCACATGCAATGTTTCATTTTAATTTATTTTAGTGTGTGCATATCGTACGTTTTGAAATTAATCATGATTCGAATTTTAGTTAAGCAAGTTCAGTCAAATATGTGGAGAAATTATGTTTTACATTGTTTTATTTAGCTAGAAATAGATAGATTTTATTGCAATTTAAATAGAGAAACTGTCCAGTTGTGCTTCTTTTATTAACCGACTTCCAAAACACAAAAGAGGAGGTTCTCAATTCGTCTGTATTTTTTTTTTGAATACGTTTTGTGCCATTATCTTATTGAGTTTGTGATGTTTTAGTCAATATTCTAAAATTAAAAATGAAATAAAAGAAAAACGAGTCAGTGACGTCATAATAGCATCTATTGTTTCTTATAACAGAAAGTTTACCTAATGGTCGAATTTTGATTAACTATTATTAATTATAAAATTAAACAGCTTTTGTGTGTCGTCAATGTTTGTTTTCTTTCATTCAGAATAAAAGTACTGTTCATAAAAGATAGCTGAATGAGTAGATAAAATCAGTTGTTAAGAGCTACCAAGGATTATACTCGTAATAACACAATATTAGCCCTCTCACATTCATAAGAACATAAAGTAGGTATTCGTCAAAACTTTTGACGTGACAACGTCTTATAAATTGGTTTGCCGGGTGACACTTCAAGAAACTGCGTTACGCTCCGCTCACGTTATGCGCTCACAATGAGAGCGAGTGAGAGGCACGCGTCGTATGTGTAAAGGTAAAAATAAAATTTTGTTAATATGAAATTCAGTGCGAGATTCTTTGTATAAATTAATGTTTTAAATATAATTCTTTGTATAAATAAATGTTTTAAATTGTTACTATTATTTCATCCTTCTTCCTACTATACGAATGAATATTCACATTAAAATTATTTTACCACTCAAAGTCGTTGTCACGTAAAACTTTCGCCCGTATACCGACTTTACAGGCAACCAATTTTTTTTTAATTGAACCTTTTTGTTTTACTAGATAAAAATCGAGTTCAAAGGGAATGCGGGTAGTTATAATAAAGATTACATCAGACATGTGTGAAATAAGAGAAAATTGCAGCCAAAATTAAAGTCGGCCTAGTCTCACTTTCTGACACCAACCCGCCTTAAGTGTATGTTTTCAGGCGAGTCAAGTCAAAAAAGCTAAATCTGCGATTAATAGTAGGTAGACTTTTTCGGTTAATAGTATCTTTCATATCGCTGAGCCGTTCTGGCGTTATCTAGTATCAAACATCCACACATCAGTCCTGACGAACTTTCGCCTTTATTTTACTTTACTTTAGCACATCATGCACATTTGGGAGACTTAATGCCTAAGGCATTCTCTACCAGTCAACTATTTGGTAATGCAGAGAAAATGGCAAGTAGGTGCACTTTACATAAAATTCTTAACGGAATAGGCAAACTATATCATATATCAAATACACATAATATATAAACCTATCATACACTAGAACCTATACACGTTATACACATAGATAAATACATTTAACTTATATAAATACATACATACTTAAATAGATACCAATCAAAGTACTAGATGACAATCATGTGCTCCGTGTGGTGACGGATTAAGAATACAGAGTGTCACCACCCCTATTCATGGGGGTGGGTGGGTGTCGTAAGAGCCGACTAAGGGAGCAAACTACACAGAACAACAGCACTGCAGAGAGAAGGAAAACTTGACACAAACCCTTTTTTTTTTTTTTTTTTTTTTTAACGTGTGGAAATCCCCTCGGACCGTCACCCCTCCGGGGTTTGCGGCGGGGTGGTGTGTCGGACTCGGACCGACTAAAACCACACGGTGTGCCACTCTGCGCCTGTAACAGGAGGGATCCGGGAACAGCTGTTGTTAAGACATCCGGACCCCTCCTAGCGCTAGCCCGCTCCTGGTGCGGGCTCCGTCTCAATATATTTTCCTCTCTTTAGGCGACGTCCGGCACACGCGGACGCCGCCCCCTCGCGGCTGGCCAAACTAATGCGGGTGGAGGGGAAACCCACCCCGTCCACCCGCGGCCACACTCAGGGCGGCATGAGGCTGTGGTAGGCGGGCCTCCGCCGCCCGGTTCGCCGGCGGCGGATCGGGTCCGAGTGGAGGTCGTCCTCCCGGGCCCTCTCCGCCGCCTCCTTCCGCGAGATTACTACCTCGCAGAAGGTTGCGACCGCGGTAAAACAACTGTCGCTACCGGCCATGGAGCGTACTACGGCCGGTAGCGAGAGATCCACTCCGATGACTGCAGTGAGGGCCCGGCGCTGCGCCGCCCATGCGGGGCAGACCGCCAGCGTGTGCTGGGCCGTGTCCTCACTGCAGTCGCAGTGGTGGCAGGCGGGACTCAGTTCCCTCCTAGCGACCGAGTGCAGGTACTTCCCGAAGCAACCGTGCCCGGAAAGCACCTGCCGGAAAGCGTCAGCCGGAAGGAAAGGGTCCCGTGCTGCCGCCCTGCCCACTCGGCGATGACCGGCTGGAGAGCCTCCACGGCGGCGAAGCCAGCGCGTGGAGTCTCCAGCCGGAACGACCAACGAGCCATCGTGGCTCGGCGAGCGGCTTCGCGCCACTCGCGCACATCCTCGGGCGGAGGGCGAAATCCGCTCTCCGCCCGGTAGTCAGCCACTCGCCGATAAACTTCGGCGAGCACTTCCGCCTCCAAATCCCACGGGGGAGTTCCGGCCAACGCGCACGCCACCTCCGTCGAAACGGTGCGGTAACCGCGTATGGCTCTGACCGCCATTACCCTCTGAGGGCGCCAGAGGCGTACCCTATTCTGGGCGGTCAGAGCCGCCGCCCACACCGGTGCACCGTACAGTGCCATTGACCGGACAACCTCCGTGTACAGCCGTCTTGTCGCGACGCTGGGTCCACCCATATTGGGCAAGAGTCGCCCTAGGGCAGACGCAGCGCCGACCAGCTTTGGAGCAAGCTGTCGGAAGTGCTCGTCGAAGAGCCACCTCCCGTCGAGGATCAGGCCCAGATATTTCATCTGGGCCCGAACCGGTACGAGGACCGAGTTGACCACGATGGAGGCGCCAGGGGGTGGACCACGACGGGGCCCATGAAATAACAGGGCCTCCGTCTTATCTAGGGCCACCCGTTTGACACAAACCCTATACCAACCCGTCTCCCAAATGCAACTAAACCTAAAATAAAACTAAATGCTATGACTTCATGTTAAATAATTGCTCACTTAATACTAATAATAATATTTATTCAGATATTAAGTGCAACAATTTATACTAAGTAGCTCATTATTTGTTTTGGATTGAACCTGTATCTTGGATGAAGAATAAATAAAAAATAAGTAAATAATAATAACTTCACACATTTCAGACACGGCATTCTGCTCCCAAACTAGGTAAAGTGTGTACTATGGTAACCAAACTGGTGATAAACTTACTTATATATTTTTAGATACATACATATTGTAGATAAATTACACCCAGACAAAGAAGTGCTTACAAACTATCTTACTAATATACATCTTTAATTCTATAATATAGTTCTATAATTTAAAAATAATATTCTAATAACCTACACAAGCCACTAGCAGTACCATAAGTAGGTACCCGTAGCAGTATCATAAGTGGGTCAAAAATGATGTACCAAGACCGTTTAAAAATCTTTATGTATTTAAAGTAACTGCTCAGTTTGCTCATTCAACAAAATTTGTGTAAATAATGTGTTTTTTACAGCTAACATAAGTTAATTTATAAATACTTGCTTTCTATTTAATCTATCATATACTTATAACAATAAAACTAGAAAAATCTTTAAATACATTATGTTGTTTTTTATTTACATGAATATGTTGTCCGGGTTTTGTATGTTAGGTATATAATAGGGATAGGGATTAACATTATTTAATATTATTTTTACATTATTTTGAAATGGCAATGTGACAATTTCGAGTTCTTATAGTAGACCAAAACCTTAATTTTATTATTTTATATTTTTTTGAGCACTAACACAATGGATATCTATTACTAAATAATAATATAATAATAATATATCTCACACATCTTACACACGGCCGTCTGATCCGCTGATAAACATACTTATATATTTTTAAATAGATACATATTATAGATAAATTACACCCAGACGCAGAACAAATGACTGCTCATCACACAATATTTGTCCTGGGTGGGAATCGAACCTACGACCTCCGATTTAGCAGTCAGGGTCACTGGCCACCAGACCAACAGGCCCGTATAAATATTTTTTGTTATCTAGTTTACCTAATATAATTGCTTTAATAACCTACGCCCAGCCACCGCATTCGATTTGACACTCGCGTTCCGAAGGAAAATTGTTCGTCGATGACGGTGTAGCCAGGGTCTGACAATGCTTCGACCATCTGATCTCAAAGCAGCTCTTTGTGTACCAGTTGAAGACGTATCTGAAAATGCAAATTCACATAATATATCCACGTTCTTACAAATATTGACTCTAAATATTAAGTATTCATATTATTCATAATGAAGAAAATTATTTTGTAAGGCTTTCAAAGAAAAGTTTGTTTACGAAAAAGTTTGGAATAACTAATAAGTGTATAATAAAAATATTGGCCTTTTGCTTATCAGAGATGTGTGTTGTGAATGTGAAACTAAACTTTTTACATGATAGTGCCCATTCTGTTGTACACCACGTCATCAAATCAAGGCAAGATTCAAGGCTTTTAATTATGATAGCACTGAAATTAATTCTTACATCACTAAAAGCTAAACAAGAAGAGTTCTCCTGCTACTATGAAACAACTGATCCAAAGTTAAAATATGAAATCCGCCAAAAAACCCATTTTAGATTTTTCAATCTCTCTAAGTTAAACCAAATTAATACATTTGTGTATTATATTGACTTGACTTAGTTTGAACAGTAATCTTATTTATAAAATTCTCTTGTCACAATGTTAGTTACCATACTCCTCCGAAACGGCTGGACCGATTTTTATGAAATTTTGTGTGCACATCGGGTAGGTCTGAGAATCGGCCAACATCTATTTTTCATACCCCAATGACAAGGGTGACCCACCTCTATTTTTTTTTTCAATATTTCCTAGAAATGATGTATATGGCAAAACAACGTTTGCTAGTTTAACGGGTCAGCTAGTTTAACAATAAATCTGTGTCGAAATAAAAATTGATTTTTAAATTCAAATTCATTATTTAATGAAAAAGGTTACACACAAGTTGAAATTTAATTACTGATGACAGGACAGAGTCTGTCAATAAAAAAAAAGACGGGAAGGCACAGGGAAATAATGGCACAAGTCCGTGTTAGTTTTAATATTCCTGTGACATCTATATCTGCTTGCCATGTAGGTATAGAATTTAGCAGTGAATAATGACATCAAAGTAACACGCACACTTTTAAGACTCAGAAGTGTATAAATAATAGAATGTTTTTGATGGTGTGTTTGTTATTGATCATGGAAATTAGTGATTTAAAAATACTATAAATTCATACACTGGTTTACGCCGTGTAAGATGTAATTACGCCTAAAACTTCTAAGGTATGTACGAGAAGCCCAAAATCTAAGAGGCGTGCAATGGGAGAGGCCTATGTGCAGCAGTGGACTGCGATAGGCTGATGATGATGATGATGATGTACTGAGACGTATTAACTAATTTTATTCTAACTATTAGAGGTCCCCCTCTTAGCTGGATGTAGGTCGTACGATTTCAAGTAAGTAATCAAATTGTAGCTTGTCGTGAGGACAGACAAGTTTAAACTGTGTATGCCTCTGCCCCACAATTCACAGCTTGGCATCTGATGGTTATGCTACAAAATGCAAATGTACTACATACAATATTCCATTACCTGAGTTGATGTGGCCACCTGTATCTCACTGGGTATTCTATCAAACAGTGTTTCTCCTTCGGCAGTTCTTGACATAGTCTGTAGTCCACTACATAACGAAAATAAAAAGTACGTTTGTTAATATTGAATCAAGAAATACAAGTATCTAAACTTTATATTTTATTTTTACTCGTATTATTACGACAAAGAAGGATTGTGTTTGTGTGTTTGTTGGTACTGTTCTCTCCACACCGTTTAAGTAATTTTGTTACTTTTGTTTATAGAGACAGACGGAACCCTTGAAGAGGAAACAGGCTACTGATGCTCGTAAAAATAGTGGTGACTCGTAAAAAAGTGCTAAACAGTAAATAATTTAAAAATATATTATCAACTTGTTATTAAAACTATGTTATTTAAAAACACCTTTTTTATCACTTCACTTTAACATGCGTCTTTTATCTTAGCACGGGTAGAAAGAGGCATATTTAATACCAACATTTTGCTGACTGTATTTTAAGTCCCACATAAGCAAAATAGGAGGAGGGAGGATGGAGAAGCCTTGCCTATATATTTCTAAAAACATATTATATATCATAGATAAACTACAGCCAGACACAGAACAAATAGTCTAGTGGTTAAGGCATTGGACTTAAGATACTTCAAGAGGTCGTAGGTTCGAATCCTGACCAGTACACTACTGACGTGAACCCACTCCTAACACAAACAATTTAGCTTAGCGGGAGGGGTTAACGGGAATACTAGTAATTACAGTTGCCAGTAAACCTTTTTAAACAAAAAAAAAAGAAGTGCTCATTACACAATTTAGGTCCCTCTATATAAGGTCCCTATAGGACCTCTGGCATAGCAGTCAAGATCACTCACCACTCTAGAGTTTGGAACCAAGTTAAATTTGTATTTCAGCTGCTTTTCTTTCATATGCGATGCCACTTAGTATCATAACATGCGGGCATTCATTAATAATCTGACTGTGTAACAATGACAAGGAATTACCGTTGCCTATTCAAATCAAGTACACATTTTCAGTTTCCTTTTCACTCACTACTGTTCTATACTGTGTCGGAAACCTTATCACCGTTTAGAGATCTGTAAATTATAGTAACTGATCGAAAAACAGCGCTGTTATTCTATTTTCTAACAATCTATATTGAGCTGCGTTCGATAGGATATCTTATAACTTGATTAAAAACCTCCGACACAAAAATATTAAAAGCCAACAACTGCTTATTAAGACTGTTCTAATAAGCCCGACCATGGTTTATACGCTGTAATTTCTGGTTTGGTTGGTCTGGCTTCTGGTGAGTTGGCTATCCCGCAGACTACTTGATACAGCAGCAAGTTTTAGGTTACCATGTCGTGGAAATACCATCGAAGTAACAGTATACCAAACTTCAGATCAATCAGAACTGTGAGATTCTTCTATCACCTAGGAAGTGAGCTGATGATCTTTAAAATTGGTGAATACGTTCGGAAGCTACGATGCCACAGACAGACAGACAGATACATATATACACAGATACGGAAATACACAGATACACATTTTAAACTTATAACATCCCTCGTTTTCCATCGGGGATTAAAAATAAATGCCCAAAAAAAATTCTAATTAATTTTCTATTTTTTAGTCACGCAAGAATGCCATTGGAGAGCAATACACATGTGACCCGGGTCACATGTGTATTGCTCGACCGGAGTGATACCAGGGCTTGACAGAATACCGATATTCAGCAGTTCTTGCGTTGCTTTGCATCGAGTGAGTGGGGTAACTTGAGCTCAACCCCCTTCTTCTCCTGATTCTGATCGAGGCATTCAAAGTTCGTCGCAAAAGGGGAAAGGCTCCTCTTGATTATGTCGGGAGGATGTTAAGACCGGCAACAACTGAATTGCAGGCGGCGGTATTCACTTGCCATCACTCGTTTCCCCAGTAATTTTCTTCAATGAATAACGATAAGAACTTTTATGTCGTCAAATTATAAGTTACAGGCTGTGTGATGCAATAAAATGTATGGATGTAATACTTACGCGCATTACAATGACACAGTAGAGATAAAACTGAGATGAAGCAAATAACCTTCATTGTTACGATATAAAAGGTTATCAATTATATTTTATTTGTAATGTTTATATAAATTTGTGCGTGCGCCTATGTTTATATACAAGACGATTGCGAATAACGTTGTATTAAAGATGATATTAGTGTTCTATCCCCGAGGAGGTTGTGGTACGATTGATGAGATATAGCGATTTGGCACTAACGAGCAACAGTTACACAGTTATGTCACTGGCGACCGATGTGCACAAAGAAAAATGGTTTATACTCAAAAAATACGTAAAATATTCATTGTGTTTATTTTATACGAATTGCCGCATTTTTAGAGAAACTTCTAAAACTTTCCTTAAGATTACTGATTTCTGTCCGAATTTTATAGTAACATTATAATCGGCTATATATATATATATATATATGATCAGGGTCGCGAGGGCTAGATAGTAATATACGTATAATAATAACTTTACATATCTCACACATGGCACAGACAGCTGATTAACGTACTTAAATATTTCCGAATACATATTTATACATACGAGTAAAAACCTCAACTTTTCAGTGGAAATCAAGAAAAGAATTGCTTAACACAGTTCAGGCCGTGATCTCACTCTGGTCGAGCCGACCCAGATGTTCGAAAACGTAGCATAACAGCTGTCGTATGAAAATATCGATGAATTTAAGTAAGCTTTGCTCTCTACTTAGTAAATGAAGCGAAAGTAACATCTGCTACAATCTGATAACTAATTTCAAATATTTTCGAAAAATAAATGTTTATTTATTATCTGCGAAAAAGGTTTTCACTTGGACCAATACAATTTTTTATGAACCGCATGGAAAGAAATGAGAGTCTTTAGTACTTTCTAGATATAATTTATTTCTTTACTGTGCAAACAAAATATAAAATAAATGATTATTTAACAATCAGTTATTTTATATTTTACAAAAAGTGCTTTTCTATTTTAAGTACAGTAGTGACATAAGTTCTTGTAAGTGACTCTGGTGGTACTTGTAAGTATAGATTGCAGACATAGACTGCACGGATGATGTACTGGTTTAAACGGTAACCTCGTTGCTTCCTACTGTGCTGTGTTTTTGGTGTGATCCCCACATGGTACAACACTTTATGTGCTCCACAAATTATTGTTCTGAGTCTTGGTGTTCTTTGTGTCCGTTGCCTGTATGTTTTTAAAGTCCCCCGCGACACAGGATATATTCCTTTTTTTAATAAAATAGTTTTTGTCCACAACTTGCTCACTTTAAAGGAAATTTTATCAATAAATTCAGTTATAGTCTAGAATAAAAAGAAGCCTTGTATCGGCGCGGTCATAAGCTATTAAACGAAAGACAAAATAATAAGTAAATATGGAAAATATGCATTGAAAATAAATAAGGAGAAAGTTTGCGTGTTTTCCGACCAACTTTACTGTGAGCCACGAACCAATAATTAGGTTAGCAGGATACCACTCCGGTGTTCCACTAAACGTTGTGCAGAACAATGTTGCTTTAGAGAACTTTTGTTGTATTTATACCTTGAGTTTGTGTTATTTATTTTTCGCACTATTTTACTAGGGTTGCTTTCCTTTTGTGCTGCATTTTTTTATTAAAATATTTTTTTTTAAATAAAATTGGGGACGACTACTTCAACCCAAAAAAGAAAACAGGTACAGACCTGTTGTCTTTTTATAAAAGATACCATTTGTATGCCAGTATCGGAATCCTAGGCGAATCCATCGAGCGAAGTCCAGTTTCGGGGTTACTTAGAGGGTAAGCTCAATTTGGCCTCGAAGAAGCTTTTTGTGCTGAACAGATCGAGGCAGTATTTCACTCCGGCCCACCGCCTTCATCTTTATAAGGCGCAAGTCCGGCTGCGTATGGAATACTGTTCTCATCTCTATGCCACCACCTCAGTACCACCATCTCCCTCTGGACCGCATCCAACAAACGCGACTCGAATCGTCGATAGCCCAAACATCTCCGATCGGCTCGATTCTCTATCATATATATCATGGAGAGTGCTCCGAGGAATTGTTCGGACTAATACCGGCCGCAACCTTCCGCCATCGTTCCACACAACAAAATATTCATCCCCACCACTTGGATGATTGACGCTCTCCCACTGTGCGCTTTTCAAGACATTTTTTGACAAAGACCAATAACCCAGATACAGAACAACTGATCGTTCTCATCAATTATTTGTTCTGGGTGGGCTTCGAACCCAAAATCTTTCGCTTAGCAGTCAATATCACTTACCAACAGACCTGTCTAAATCAATTCACAACTTAAAATAGAAAACTAAACTAGTTAGAACTTCCAAAAGCGATTCACAACAGATGTTACTACCAGTAATCTCTAATTGATTACACCGTTTTCATTCAATTAAACTTATAATTAAACTGCAGTCTTGCTGCTTTGAACAATTGTGAGAAACTTCAGATTCCAGATAACGCTTATCCTTAAATACAAAGGGTTATTGTCTGTTATATGCTGTAATTAATTTATTGGACAGCAAACAGTAGTTTACATAAATACGTTGATACATTTCTGATTTATAAACATGAATGTTCTTTTATATACTGTTATTATTAAACGAGCAGTTGGGTCACCTCATCATTATCATCAACAGCCTCTAATAGTCCACTGCTGGACATAGGCCTCTCCTTAGAAAGGAGGTTTAGGCCTACTTTACCACACTGGTTAGACGGGTCGGTATGCCCCTTTACATTACTGTTGTCCTGCGTAGTACTCCCTTACGACACGTCCTTAATCCACCACCACACGGATAATGATGGATGGGTCACTTGATGGTAAGTAACTACCGCCACTTATTGCAACTCAAGAGTCACAAATGTATTGCCTCCCAATGAATCCTCAGCCAGGATCATAGAAAGGAGGGTTTTGGACTCCGTTAATCTCACATAGGTTTTCGGTGAGGTCGTTGTTCCATGTAAGAGCTATTGCCCATTGTAACTTTTTGAACGGAAAACTTCCTAAGGCGCTTTGGGCATTTTTGAACAACAAACAAAAGAAAAAACCATTGAACTCGCGACACTGTTACCGTTACCGACACCTCTGTATTAAGTTTCTACTCGTACATATATTGGCCCCGTGGCCAAAATTTCCTGTAATAATAAAAAAAAGAATTTCAAGTCTTTACTTCTGTCGGCACTCCCGGAGTACCATTGTTTTTTTTTGAGTCGCGTGACATTGAATGAGAAACCCTTTTGGGGTCATCACCTCGCCGGAGCTCACATTGAATTGGTGTATTGGAATTGAACCGACTCAACTGCCACACGGTTTCTGTTAATAGATCAATTATGCTGCCTCGGTGGTGCAGTAGTAGTGTATGCAACTGCTGTGCTGATGTCTTGGGTTCGATGCCCGGATTAGACCAAATGTTTGTTTGATGGCAAATATGTATTTAATTTGGAGTTTGAGTATTTCCCATATTTTATATGTAGGTCCTTTACCTATGTCTTTACAAAAAAAAAAGTATAAAAGTTTTCCATCAGTCTATTTAAGTTTCATAGTACAGTGATGTACTACTACGGCACTACCCCTTCCGACTACGGCACCTAGATATGTATTAGTCTTTCTAAGTATTGGTGAGATTACGTTTAACAGTATATACGAGTATATTGCGGTGGAACAGGTGTTGGACCCCTATAACAGAAGAAAGACTCTGGCCAGGCCAGATCATCAAGCCTGGTGCGCCGCAGCCACTTGGTTAATTTTGAGGAATTATATATGTATATTACTGCTGCAGTGGTAGCGTATGCGACTGCCGTGCTGAGGTCTCAGGTTTGATTCCCAGGTCTGACCAAATGTTTGTATGATCTGCAAATATTTGTTACTTACTTTAGGTGTTTTCTATGTCGGGCACGCCGTCATCGCGGCGGTAAGATCCGTTATGGAGGATTGGCTCGAGAGGCGTCACGGGACCCTCTCATACCGACTGACGCAGGTGATCACTGGGAAAGGATGTTTCGGAGATCACCTGTGTATCATCCGCAAGGAGCCAACGCCTGGGTGCCACCACTGCGATGGCCAGACCGTGGACACGGCTCTCCACACGCTGGCAGAGTGCCCGGCGTGGGTTGAGCAGAGGCGAGACCTCGTGGCGGCCATCGGGGTGGGAGTTCTCTCGCACGATAGCCTGATTGCGGCTATCGTGCGGAGCGAGAGTGCGTGGAACTCTGCCGTTTCCTTCTGCGAGCAAGTTATGCTCGCGTAGGAGACGGCGGAGTGGGACCGGGAGAGGTTTAGGACTCTCCCGGCCCGCCAGGCCCGGGAGGGGATTTCCGCACGGAAAAAAAAAAGGGGGTGGAGGGGTTTGTGCTCCAGTGTATATGGATGGTCGTAGTCATTTACCGTAATGTTAGGTCATTCGTTCTATAAGTTAGTATTATATAAATGAGTCATTAGAATAAATGTCATCAAGCATCAAGTAGTTTTATAAGGGCAATTTGTCAATGGCCTAATACTGAAATAGATTTTAATGGATTATGTCAAATAGCAAGATTTGATTTGTTTTTTTTTTAATTTAAAAAGGACAACTCCCGCACTAGGAATACATCCTGCGTCGCGGGGGACTTTACACACATAATTGAAACGGACACAAAGTACACCCAGACTCAGAACAACAATTTTTGGATCACACAAAGTGTTGTCCCATGTGGGGTTTGAACCCACAACACTCAGCGTAATAGGAAGCGGCGTGGCGACCGCTTAAACCACTTTGCCATCCCCGACTATAAGGGCGGGGCTTAAAATATATTTTTTTGTATAAAGGTCCACGAGCCCATGAACGTGGAGTCGTTGGTTGGCATTAAGTGGAGTAACAAGTGTAGTAAAGATTAATTGTATAGAAAAGGTGTACTAGGGAATATAATACAAGGCTTTAAGGTGACAACCTAGCAATCAGGTGACCATGTTAAAAAGGCTCCATTCCTTGAATTTTAAAGTTTTTTTGAAGTAGGTTCAAAAGTGAGTAGAATGAAAAGCATGGTCTAGGTATGTTAATCTATTTC